ATTTTTCTGAATAATTGTCAAGTGATTTTTATGCAAATTATAAATTGAGATGCCTAAAGCTACTCTCAAAATATACCATGGCATGAGTCATAAGACAACAAACTCATTGGAAGAACAATCCTCCGCTTTAGTTCGTAAGTTCTGATTTGATTAGTTATATTATCTATTCAATTATAGGAAGCTAGCAAAGGAATAAAGAAAAACATCTTCAAAACAATGATTTAATGTTTAAACTATTCTTTCATTTTTTATTGCTATTGTGATACCCATACAAGAAAAAAAAAAAAAAAAGCCAGTCTACAAATAGTCAAACAACAGGTCTCACTTGTTGTTTGCCTTTCTAATTTCTCCGCAGCCTCTCAAAGTTTCTAGCTAATATTAACAAGAAAGCTGACCTAGAAAAGACATTTTGCATATGTACGCACCACAAATCAAAAAATCTGTGCATCTAGACATATTATAGATTAATCACTAATTGATAACTGACCAGGAATGGATGAAATTTTCAAGTCATTAATTTGCACGCTTACTGTAATGTTTCAACACCCTTACTGCCAGTGAACTGAATCCACATTGAGGAAATTCAGAAACTCCTTTCCTGTAGATCATCACAGGGTTTTCCTTGACATCCTACATAGGAGCTAATTACAATCAATATCACTAGAGCATTCAGTTAAAGATAAAGATAAAGATAATTAAAAAAAAAAAAAAAAAGAACTTGAGGTTAAGAACATTGTTCATCAACATTATATGAAAATTCTCCAAGGACATACCCACCTGCTCAACAACATCCTTCAAAGAAACAGCAGAACCCTGCAGCTTATTGTTGGGTCTAAAATCTTCATGTGTATCCGGATCGTGGGGAACATGAGCTAAGCACCTCGTGATCTTGGTAGAATAATGCAGATACCTTGTAACAAAACCATGAGCTCATATCAGTATTTTCATCCCTAGTAATGTGAAAGGGAATAACACTAGAGCACAATGTGCAATTCAAAAAATAACAAATTCAGACAGATTTTGGGAATACAAGTACTGCAAAAATGGATTTGGGAATGCATGACATACACAGTGATGATATTTTGAATTACAAAAATAATAGGGCAAATGAAAGATCCTTTTTGGCACTTACAATTCTACTCGATCGAGCAGCTTGGATACCTTCAATGCCCTCCTTCAACAGCGTGTTTGACAATAACTTAACCATGATGTTCAATACAGGCCTTCCAAACTATACCATCAGGAGAGAGTAATAACTCCGAAACAATTGATTATCTACACAACTCAACAAACAGAAAACCATTCATAAAACCATTCATAAATTTGCATCAGAAGCGGCAGCAGAAACAGAAACAACATAACAAGGGATTCTAACATTTTCTTACATTAATTAACAAAACAAAACAAAATTGCAAGTCATCAAAAAAACTGCTTAACTGATTTTTCAAATGGATTACAGTAAACTTATTTAAATTTAGCGTCGACCCAATCCATGAACAGAGCAAAATAAGAATTCAAAAGAAAACTTCTGATGAGGAAAAAAAAAATAAAAAAGCTAAATTTCATGAATATCTATGAACAAAAATGGGAACTTTCCAGCAAAACTTCTCCAATAAACGACTCCCCGGGAAGACCAATAGCGAGCTTGTGCTAGGGAAATAATGGGTATTTCTAGTTTC